AAAGGAAAGAGTTACAAAAGAGTTACAAAGTTAGAGTTACAAAGGAAACTGCTTATTTTCAAGTACAGTTATCAAAATATGTTTTAACTGTGATATAATAATAGATGTGCTTCTTTGTACATTAAATAAGACCTCACATGGGGGGGGGTCCATTTCAGACACCGTAATTTCAAAGTAACAAGCATAAATATTATCTTGAGCTCTACAACCATAAGTTGATATAAAAAGATCTGTGATTTCTATTAGGAAAAAAGTCACAGGTAATTCTAATAATACTACTATATAGTTTCTTCCCTACATTTGTGTCTGAAGGAAATACTAAATTGCAATTAGAGGCAGCGAGAATGAAGGTGTAATTCTTTCCCGTCTCAGAATTCAGCCTGCTGAATTCTACCCAGGGGGTTTTAGATTCCAGGTGGGTCTTCCTGATCTGTAAATAGGACCATCACTGCCCTGCCTAAACTCTCAGCTTACCATTGCCGCAAGAATAGAATGTCGACTCCTTAGTGGGCCCTCCCAGGCCCTTGGGCCCTTCACTCTTGCAGCATCCCCCTTCCTTCCTCCTCCCCTTCTCTCACCACCCTCCAGCCTTGGAGACCTTTTGCCTGGTCTTGAACTTGCCAACCTCATTTGCCCAGTTCACCCCTCTCCCTCTTGATCACAAGGCTCTTCCGTCTGACCCTATCTGTTGTTAGGGCACCAATGCTCCAGCCTTCCCTGGCCACCCCTGCTAACGGTCCCTCACCCCCAGCCCAGCATTAAGAAGAAACAGCAAGCTCAAAATGGAGTCACTTGTGCTAAGTCACCAAACCAAGACTTAATACCTAAGCTAATTTCAGTTTCAGCCTCTCCCAGGAACGTAAACTTGAATAAATTAAGCTGGTTAACTTAGTCAGCACCAGTGAGGTGATCTGTCCATTCCACACCTTCCCACTTCCCTTAGAAGGGTGACCTTGCCTGAAACAATGCATTCTTTGCTAATTATTTCCTTTCTCTGCTCCCTTCTGCCTTTAAAAAATCTCCCACCTGCTCCCCATGGCATGCTGTTTCTGTTCAAGGACCCCAGTGGGAATGAACCCATAGTAGTCTCCTGCCTCTAAGACCCCTCCCTCGCACCCTGCCCCCTCTCTTTCCAGTGTCTCCTGGGATCACTTTGAACTGGAATCCTGGTCTCTGGGTCGGCTTTGGGAGGAACCCAGCGAGGGCCACACCTAAGCTCCTAAATAATAGTTAAGAAAATGTGTAGGTCTGTAAAGGTGGTTAAGTTTGGAAGAGCATCCATGTTTAGCCAGGTAAGGGGAAAGGGTGGCACTTTAGCTTTCATTTACTCCTTCATTCATTCACTCATTCATTCATTTACTCGATCACTCAACAAACACCATCAGGCTGGCTGGGGGGCATGCTGCCTGAGCAGGAGTCAGGCTATCCTCTCTGGCAGGTGGACAATGCTGGTCACTAGCAACGTAGCCTCTGGCGTATGGCAGTGAGTGTCCATCTGACTTCTCCATGGCTCAGTGACTAGACCCTCAGTGTTACCCAAGTCCTCCAGAGCCGACTCCATGCTCTCTCAGCACTGCCAGGGAGAGCGGTTCTGTTCCCCAGGAGCCAGGACAATCAGAGGAAATGCATGCATGACCCAGGACATCCTGGGTCCTGTTTTGGGGACGGGATAAACCTGAAAAGGACCCCCGAGGACCAGTGTTGAAGAGTGGGGTCCTGAGACCAAGATGGAGCAGGAGAGATGTTTATTTGGAGATGCAGAAGTGAATCACGTGAACGGATGAGCATACATGGAATGTACTGAAGGCGGGAGAAAGATCTTTTGTTCTTTTAAGTTCTTGATGGGAATGGGTTTATGAGAGAAGCCTAGAAATGTATTAACGTAAGGTATGTGACACTGGAGACTTCATAAAGAAATGAAGACGCAAAGAAAGGGTTCAACCTGAGTGTTTTTATGCTCAGCTTAATGAAAAGTGGAAAGTCGGGGAAAAATATGGGAGGACAAAATGTAGGTGGTGAGTGTAGTGAACATGGGTGGAAACTTAGCAAAGCCTATTGGTTCAGGTTCCTCTCTGTCCCTGCATCTTTGGAGAGAAGTATCCTCTTCTCCTCTGGGCATAGAGAAGGAACCTCTCCCCACTTGTGTGTCTATGACCCACTTCAGGGGAGGGTCAGAGTCCTTCCTGTACCTGCCATTTCTGAAATCCCTTCAGCGTAAAGAAATTCAATATGCCAAGATGCTATATTTTGGGGCAGTGTGTCCTGAACCCCATCAGTACATACAGTGGGAAACGATTCAGCCCCTAACAAGAAGGGGATTCTGACACCTGGTCCAACATGGTCGAACCTTGAGGGCATGGTGCTCAGTGAAACAAACCAGTCACAAATGGACAAATACCATGTGATTCCACTCCTCTGAGGTCCCCAGAGGAACCAAACCCAGAGAAACGGAAAGTAAAATGGCGGATGCCAGGGGCTGTGGGGGAATAGAAGACGGAATATTTAATGGGGACGGAGCTTCCATTCTATGAGATGGAAAAATTCTAAATGGATGTCAGTGATTGGTGACACACATGGTGAATGCCCTTAGTAGTGCCACTGAACCGTACATTTAAAAATTATTGAAATGGTGAATTTTATGTTCTGTATATTTTATTACAAAGAAGAAGAAGGAGAAGGAAGGGGAGGAGAAAGAGAAAAAGAGTGAATTATAGCCAGAGCTGGGAGATTGAGCCCAGGGTGGGGGCTGAGAGGTGACAGGAGGCTGACACAGCACTGGTCAGAGTAGCCTGACTTGGCCATCGGTGGTTAGGAAATGTCAAGCATGAGTATGGAGGCAGAAGGGTCCGAAGCAAGCCAGGGGTGTTGAGGGGAGGACAATGCCAGGATCAGGACACCTGTGTTGGTGGAGAAGCCAAGGCCTCCCTCAGGCTCAGTCTCCAGATTGGTGACTGGGTGAAGGATGCCTGCCCTTATGTTACCCAGCTTTGTGGGGAGGCGCTGAGTGGACTGAGCAAACACACCCAGAGCAGGCAACTCTGTGCTTCGGGTTCTACGGGGGAAAGAAACTCTGGAGCCCACAGAACGTACCTGCTCCCCTTCATGGAAGTCAGGGGACATATAGTCGGTCCTCATTATTCATGTGGTTGTATCACTGAGAATTAAGCTTATCATGCTCAACGAGTGACCTCTGAATCGTTCCTATTGGAAATACGGGGTGAAGCTCCCGTGTGCCTCGTGTCACAGCACTTTTGTCAACCGATCAATACATAACCTTCAGCTATGTGTGTTTTCTGTTTAAAAACACCTTCCTCAGTATATCTCGGTGACTCATTCACACTGAACTCACGGCCACCAGCACTGTGCCTGGATAATGCATATCTAACACTGGTATTTTCTCTGTAAGGCGGACACAGCCTTCTTGCACTTCAGAACACCAGATAGCCCTTCAGTACTATGCGTGGGGCCATTTTATTTTATTTTTTTAAAGATTTTATTTATTTATTTATTTGACAGAAAGAGAGAGCAAGAGTGAGCGAGCACAAGCAGGGGGAGCGGCAGGCAGAGGGAGAGGGAGAAGCAGGCTCTCTGCTGAGCAAGGAGCCCGACGTGGGACTCGATCCCAGGACCCTGGGATCATGACCTGAGCTGAAGGCAGATGCCTAACCGACTGAGCCACCCAGGCGCCCCATAGGGCCATTTTAAATAGCAATATCACCAACAAAGAGCACAACAATGTGAAATCAATCAGCAGATCCCAAGAAGGATACTTGTTTACAGCAGGGGAACTAAAACAAGAAGGTGGGGCATCACCTTGTCTGACCCCAGCTGGATATGAGCATACTGGGCCATTCTCTGCCCTGTTCCCAGTTTCCCATCCATCCCTGTAGGCACAGGCTCAGCGACAGCAGGGGATGCCTCGGACTTGGGAAGCTTTGCCGGTGGGGAGGTCATGCACAACCCATGTGTCCAGGTGCCGCACAGGTGACATTTTGAATCCTGACTGCAACTCTATCATTTTCAAATGAGGGCCCTGAGGCACAGAAAGGGGGAGGCCTGATTCCAAAGCCCACACTCCCTCACTCCCCCCACCCTGGCCTTTGTGGAAGAGGGAGGGGGTTTCTCTGTCCACATCAACAGGAAGTAGGGTGGCCCAGGAGACGAGATTTCTGGCTGTGTAACTCTGGACAGACACCCAACCTCCTTGCCCAGGCTGCTGTGGAAATGCTCTGTGTGGCGCACACAGGCCAAGGGACAACTTAGGCATTTCGCCTTCCTAAGGGCTCCAGCCATGATTTAAGCCCCAGCCTGCCAGACTCCTACGTTCCTGCACCGCCCCCAACCCCACACCAGTTATTCCCAATTTTTACTTATAAGTGAAACTTTGAAATGGAAACTTCATGTCACTATCTTTACCACCTGCCACAAGTTGAAGCCATCTTACAGAAAACTGCAGGAAAATCAAGCAAAGCCATCAATTCTATTTAGATTCTGGTGCCTGCTTAAGGTTTTGCTGTCCTGTATGAAAAGGGAAAGGATAGTGTCAAAGGATATTAAGAACCTAAAAGGGCAACCTTCACTTGCTCCCTGACTCAAGGGATGACAAGGAACCGAAAGGCAGCTGTCTGTCGGGGGGAAGGACAATTGCTCTCCAACTCCCACCTGGGGGCAAGGTCCTCTTCCCTCCTCCGCCCTGGGCCCCAGGCCCCTCGCAGCGCCCCGCGGCGATGGAGGTGGGGCGGGAGTGGGCGCCCGGTCCACGGTGCCCATTGGGCGGCCGGCGGCTCGTCGGCCTGGCCCGAGGGGGCGGGGCTGCCGGCTGACGTCACGCGGGGAGTGCCTGAGCGGCGGCGCGGAGGCCGGGCGGAGGCGCGCTCGGGCGGCGAGCGGTGCGGGGCCGTCCCCAGATCCCGACCCGGACGCGGGTCCCCCGCGAGCGCCGGGGCGCGGCCGACTCCCTCCGCGAGCCCCGGAACCGAGAGCCCCGCCGCGCCGCCGCAATGTACGACCCCGAGCGCGGATGGAGCCTGTCCTTCTCGGGATGCGGCTTCCTGGGCTTCTACCACGTCGGGGCGACCCGCTGCCTGAGCGAGCACGCCCCGCACCTCCTCCGCGACGCGCGCATGCTGTTCGGCTCCTCGGCCGGGGCGCTGCACGCCGTCGTCTTTCTCTCCGGCATCTCCCTGGGTACGTCCGGGGGCCGCCGCCGGGGCGTCGCGCGGAGCTGGGATGGGACAACGGACACCGCGGGGTGCGTCCCGGGGGGGCCCGTCCCCAGACAGATGCTACCTCCGCCGCGTCCTCTCGCCCGGCGCCGGGGGTTCTCTGTCGCCAGCCTGGGAGGGGGGTGCGCCTGGGCTTGGCTCTTCTGGGTGTGGGAACCCCGAGCGTATCCGCACTCCAACCCGGCTCTGGAGCCTGGGCTTGCAGGAAGCCCCTCGCCCGGGGACCGAGAGTGAGCTCAAACGGAGCAACGCGGAGGAGGGAGCAGGACCCAGGGGGCGCAGGGTGGAGCTGGTCCCTGAGGTCCCTGCCATCAGCTCACGAGGCGCTGGGCGATTTGCCCTGGGTCGGACCAGGAGGGGGGCATTGGCCTGTGTCCCTGGGCGGGCGCTGTCTTCCCTCTGGCGACTACAGGGATTGGAGACACGCCCGGCCCCCCAACGCGGGGGAGGTGGGGAGCTGGATAGCCTTTCCGGGGGAGGGCAACTCTTCGGAGTCCTCCTGGGCAGGCTTACCGGTTTGGAGTCGAAGGGCCATGGTGGGATGGGGGAATGTTGGGGGATGGGGGCTTGGAGGGGGTACTAGACGCTTCCTAGGGGCTGGAGTGGATCTCTGGACATCCCCTATACCATCCTACCCCCCACCCCACCCTGCTCAGTGCCCCTGGAAATGAGGTCCTGTGCATTTGAATCTTGTGCAAATTAAACATCTATGTGGGTGGTGGCGGGAGGGGACGATATGGCTTGTACCAAGGCGGCCCAAACAGGGGTGTGGCCTGGGGTTCTGAGCCAGGGGGCAGGACCTGGGACAAGTGGCAGCTGGAGATGTTGGCACCCAAAGATCCCCAGACAGGAAGAGAGTGCTCCTCATCAACCCCTGTTCAGCTTCCTTAGCAATTTACTCTGCTCTTCCCTGGGGACTGATATGTTGGACTCCACCAGCAGGGAGTGACTTTGTTCCTGTGTGGCCTGGAGTCCCCTGCCAGTAGGTGCAGCCCTGCGATTGGATAGGATTGGATAGGATCGGTGAGCAGACCCTGGGCTGGCTGGGAGGTAGGGATTAGGAGAGAGGCCCTGGCTGGCTTTTCCATTGCTGGGAGGAGAGCAAAGGGCAGGAGATGTGGCTTCAGGGAGGATTAGACTGGCCATGTCCCATCTGCACACTCTGGGCTTTGGCAGAGATAAAAGACAGCCCTTGTATGTCAAGGTAGCCTGCACTGACTCCAGTATAGACAGGGTTCCTAACTGGCAGAGGACAGGTGCCCCTGGGTCTGTACCCTGTAGGGCAGGGGAAGGCTTGGGGACCACGAGGTCCTTGGAAAGTGGGGTCTGGAGGTTTTGGCAGAAGCCACTCCCCAAATTCCAGGAGCCCTGCTTTAAACTCCTGTCTCATTTGGGGACCACTGAGGAGCATTTCCTAGGGCCACAACTTGGAAAGAGTTCCTGCGAGTGCTTCCAAGCCAAGTACTCAGCAGAAAAGCCTGGCAGAACGAGCCAACTGTCTGCAACTTTGCCCCTTCTGCCCCGGCTCAGTAGGGTCACATGCACAGGGAGAGTTGAGCTGAGGTCAGAGGTCTTCCAAGACAGGCTGGCTTATGGCTGTCCTTCTGCATCTCAGGATTTGTGACGGGCTCGGTCTCAGGCTGAGACTGGTGGTCTTGCATGTCAGGGCAATGTAGATCAGCCGGAGGGGGTCCAGGTCTGTGAGGGAGGCTTGATGGGGCATGAATGTGGCCCATGCCCATTAGACAGTGGTAATTCTGGTGTCAGAGGCTTAAGGGTAAGTCTAGTTCTTAATTAGAAGCCGTCTCTGGGTTGAGGACCTTACAGATGGTAGTGAATCTAATCCCTTCTGTCCCCAAAGTTAAAAAATGCACAGTCTAAGATGGCGAGGGGCAGTGAAGTGACTTTCTGAGGTCGCTTGGCTAGTAGGAGGTGGACTTGCCCTTGGGCCCCAGCCTGCACTGAGTCTCTGCTTCCTGCAGTGTTAGGTCCTTTGTGCTAAAGCTCTGATGCTGAGGCATTTCCGCTTCTGGCTTTGGGAGATGGAGGGGAGAGAGAGCGCCCCTGGGCACCTCGGGAGGCTCCTTCCTGTGGCGGGACCCAGAGCAGCGCTGTCCAGGAGAAATACAGTGTAGCTGTGTATGTCATTTAATATTTCCCAGTAGCCACACTGAAAAAAGTGAAAGACACAAGTGAAATTAATTTCGTTGATCCCAGTACAGCTGGAACATTATCATTTTCACATCTAATCTGTATAAAACATGATTAAGGAGATATTTTATTTTATTTTATTTTATCTTATTTTTTATGAAGCCTTTGAATTCCAGTGTGCCATTTACACACCTCAGATGGGAATGGCCGCATTTGAAGGGACCCATGGCCTCACGTGACTTCTGTATCAGTGCCGGCCTGGAAGAAGGCTGGCCACTTCCTTGCCACCTGGTGTCTGGTCTTGCCACAGAGCACTTCCGTCTCCGGGGTAGCACAGTCCTTTGTGTATTTGTCTCCTGCCCTCCAGACCTCCTCATGCAGATCCTTGTGGACACTGTCCAGAGCGCCAGGAGCCGGAACATTGGCATCCTCCACCCCTCCTTCAACTTGGGCAGGCACATCCAAAAAATTCTTCAGCGACACCTCCCAGACAACATCCACAGGCTCATCTCTGGCAAAATGTGCATTTCGCTCACCAGGGTGTCCGATGGGGAAAACGTGCTGGTGTCTGATTTTCAGTCCAAAGACGAAGTTGTGGACGTAAGCAGTTTGCTTATTTGGGCCTTGTCAAGTAAGAAAAACTATTTCCTTTTGGAAGCAACACAGAGAGGGCTGCCGTAGGCCACCTGCGTCATTTCTTAAGATGCAAAAGACCCTGGCTGCCCGGATGCTGGTTTGCTTCCTGCACCACTCTGTGTGCATCTGGTGGTCGGTGGTCTATAGCCTGTGTATATCCTGGAACGGCCCTGGTTGGTGTCAGTTTCAAATACTACCTCCCCGTCCTTCAAGACTTGGCTCCTGATCCCCTCCTCCAGAGACCCTGTTCCATATGTGTCCCTCCTCCCATGTTATATATTCCTGGCACATATAACCAGGAGCATCTCAGCAGCCACGGTCCACCTCTATTTAAGCTTGTTTCCAAAAGCTTTTTCTAGATAGCCAGCACTGGTCCATTCCTGCAGGAGTAGGTTTTCTCAGTGGGCCTGTCTTGCTTCCTGCCTCCCCCACCCCCCACCCCCGGCCAGGACCCACAGCATCAGCAGCATCCAGAAACTTCGCCGGCTTCCAGGCTCTCGGGCCCCACCAGCCTGCTGCATCAGAATCCTGGGGTGGGCCATGGAGTCTGTGGTTGGCCAGCCCTCCGGGCGATTCAGTGAATTTTTTGCAAAGCCCTGCTCTGGTGTCTTCCAAGTCAGTCAGCGACTCTGGGCCCTCTGGGTGGCGTCGGCAAGGGCCCAGTACAGCTCTTGTGGGGAGAGGAACAGGAAGTTGATGTCCACAGTGTCATTAGGACCTTTTACTTAGGCCTGAAATACAAGTGTGCAGTTTGGTTTGTCATTCATTCAGCTTGTTTATTAAAGCACCCCGTTTGCAAAGAGCATCTTAGGCCTGTTGCTCTGTTCGCCTGAAGAAGGCTTATGCAGGCCCCCAGGAGGTCAGGAGGTCAGAAGACAGGCTGTTCGGGCCTCTGGTCTCACGTCTTTCTGTCTTTGTAGGCCTTGCTCTGTTCCAGCTTCATCCCTTTCTTCTGCGGCATAATCCCTCCTTCCTTCAGAGGCGTGGTGAGTCTGCTTTTAAATTGTCTACCCAGCCCATACCCGCAGGGCACCAGCCACAGGCACCCGGGGGCCTGTCCCCAAATGCAGAGCCTTTTGCCTCTTGGCCTTTCAGATGGAGGCTCCCCAGCTAGCCCCCTTCTAGGCTGCCTGGGCAGCGTGGCCACTTTTATGCAGAATTAATTATCTCGCTATCTAGAAGGTAAGCTGATTCACTTAATCTTCACCTGAGCACCCCAGATAGGTCCTGCTGGCCTAGTTAAACTCCAAGGTGCTTACGAGTCCGTTCCTTGCTTAGGGTACAGCTTTATTTTCAGCGCTTGAGAGTTTGCAGCCTGTCTGGGTCTGCCTTTGTCCTTTTTGGCCCATGGCTTTGGGCAGAAGCTGCTGACAGGGCTTCAGTTTGGTTCCATCCCACAAATATGTGTTGTGGCCGATTGCTGAGCCCCGCCTGGAATGGAGAGACCCAGGTTGTAGTGTGTGTTCTGCCGGCTTTGGACTAGATGCCGGGCGATGCTGGGCCACTGGCAGACTCTTTCTAGGGCCATGGTGATCACCCTAGGGGTGATTCTGCTGCCACCCCCTCCCCCCACCCTGGGACAGTGTCTGGAGACAGTTTGGGTTGCCACAACCGGGGGAGTGTTCCTGGTGCCTTGTGTGTCGAGGCCCGGGGTGCTGCTGACACCCTGCAGGGCGCGGGCCGGCCTTCTCCACAAAGAATGACCTGTTCCTAAACATCAGTAGTGCCAAGCTAAGACATCCTGTCTGGAGAGAGAGGACACGACGTCTCAATGTCCCAGGGTGGTGGCGTCCTCATGCTGTGGGGCAAAGGCAGAGGCATGTCACACTGAGAGGCTCACTCGCGCCCAGGAGCAGCCCCGCGACAGACACATCGTCCCTGCTTCTGGATGAGAAAACAGGTCCGGAGCAGTGCAGGGGTCACCCCAGATGCCCACGGCCTCTGCCTGGCAGACAGACCCGGACCGAATCCCTCCTCCGGCACACGTTAGCTGGACTGCTTTGGACATATTTCTTAACCTCTCTGAGATCTGTTTGCAAAACAAGGGTTCATCATAGTGTAGCGTCATAGAGGTGTCGTGAGGCTCGCACGAGCCAGGGCCTTGAGGTGCTTGGCATAGAGCCTGGCACGGGGGAGTCTTCAGAAAGTGGGGGCTGTTTCTACCATCTTGCCCACCTCACCCAGGCTGCCCCAGCCCCCCGCTGGGGGGGGGGGCGGTCGCACATTCAGTATACTCCAGTGAAACCCGCGGAGAATCAGAACAGCTCCTTCTTGATTCCACCAAGCAAACTCAGAACGTTACTATAGGGAAATTTGGAATGGAAGGGAAAAGTCCATGTGACAAGGTGCGTCAGACTTGAGACTCTCCCTTGAGTGAGAAACAGTCAGCTTGCTTCCTCCCTTAGGGTTCCCTAAGGTTCCCGACATTCTGATCCATGTCCCTTTCTGCCAGGGAGTTTTCTGAGGCTTCCTTTCATCTTCCGTGGAAATTGTGTGGCTACGATTTTGGAAAATACCACTGTGTACATGCCTGATCATCTTTTGGACTCAAGGCAAGACTCTCTGGACAGCTAAGGCATGGCCGAGCATGGGTCGTTCTTCTCTGGACTTGCTTTAGGTCTCGGGAAGGACTGGCTGTGATACTTGAAGGCCTTTCTCTGTGGGCACCGACAGCTGGGCTGGGATGGCCTCGGATTTGGGAATCATTCTAGACATTGCTTTGAGCGGTCCAAGACTTTGTCCAAATTGTACCCAACCCTGCTTGTGCCAGCCTAAGGTTGTCAAAGGGTATGGATATAGGAAGCCTGATGCTTACGGTAGCTGATCCCAAATGCCACTAGGTTGTGGATTCAGAGGAGGTTTTCCGAAGGCTGCCCTGGTTCCAGGTTCACTGCCATTTAAGTCTCCAAAGCTCCTCAAGGTGCTGGTTCTGATTTTCCAAGCAGCAAGGGAGGTCTGGAATTGAACCCATGACCTTCTGTCTCTTTGAGGGCAGGGTCTATATCATACTCTGTCCCCCGTGCACACAGAGCCCCTGCTTTATATGGCCCCTTTTGTGCAGATTACACGGGCACACCTATAGGTACCCGCCTGGGCTTCGGACTTGGCCAGCGAACTATGGGCTGGGCTCCAGCCTCTGTCTGCCTCTTTGCCAGGTACTTTTTGTGCAGTGCACGAACTACACAACAGTATATAGCACACTTGAGTGCCAGCCCAGAGCCTGGCCTGGCATAGAAATCCTCAGTAAAGCTTTGTTGAAAGAGTAGTTCTGGAACCTTGTCTTCCCACAATATCAGCCTGCGGCTCTGAGAAGCCTCTACCCATAATCCAGAAAAACACCGAAGACACTAGCCCAGAGCTTCTGATGGTATGTCCTTTCTTCCTCTGCGTAAAAGCGATACATGGATGGAGGAGCAAGTGACAATGTCCCCTTCTTTGATGCCAAAACGACCATCACTGTGTCCCCCTTCTATGGGGAGTATGACATCTGCCCTAAAGTCACGTCGACGAACTTTCTTCACGTGGACCTAACCAAGCTCAGTTTGCGCCTCTGCTCTGAGAATGCCTACCTACTAATGCGAGCACTGTTCCCTCCGGATCTCAAGGTGAGTTGGGGGCTGTGTGTTCTGGGGGTGCAGCTCTTCTTTGCTTCCCTGTTTGCCAGGATAGCTCCCAATTGTCCTTTCCACAAACAGGAACAGATCCCCCTCATCAAATAGCTCAGAGAAGCGTTTTTGGTCCCGGCAGCTCAAGGCTGCCCCACTCTGCCCACTGGAATCACCTGGGAAGATTTAAACAGCCCCACAGCTCAGATCCCACATCCCTGGGCTGTGATTTAAGTAGTTGGGGTGCGGCCTGGGCAGTACGATTTTTTTTTTTTTTTTTTTTTGGAGGTATCCTGATGATTTGTATTTGCAAGTGTGGTCAAGAACCACACTGCATTTGGTGGTTTAATCTTTCTTGATTGTTGTTGTAGGAGGTCTTATCTCCCTAATAAAAAGGAAAGGTGTGAACCACGTACCCTAATGGTTCTCCAGGAGAAGGAAGGCAGCGTGTAGGCTGGCAGCGTGTAGGCTGTACCCCAACAGCATGTACTCCAGGAGAGAGGGGAGGCTGTGCATTGGTTTGCATGTGTGGTTTGTATCCAGACGAGTGGAGGAGGCCGCTGTTAATTGTCCCGTGACAACTAGAACAGGCCCCCATATTTGTGAGGGTGGAGGCTCGTCCGGGGACCCAGGGAGCCTAGGGAAGTCAGTGCCTGTCACGCTGGGCTGCCAGCAAAGTCTCTGCGGAGGGGGTGTCGTTTGAGCCTAGTCCCTTGTGGAAGTGGACTTCTGTCTCTCAGGAGCATGGAGCCCTGTGTGCAGCCTTGCTGTGGCCATGCTGGGCCATGGGAGCAGTTCCAAACAGGGAGGGTTCTGCTCTTGGACTCTGCACCGCAGTTACCTTACTTGATTTGTTGCAGGTGCTTGGCGAGATATGCCTTCGCGGGTACTTAGACGCCTTGAGGTTCTTGGAGGAGAACGGTATGTATGGGCGAGGTGAGGGTAGACACGGCCTTTTTTTTTTTTTATTGTTATGTTAATCACCATACATTACATCATTAGTTTTTGATGTAG